TCATGAAAATATTAATTTCTACATCCAAATGGGGGGAATCTCAAGATTTTTTGTGAATATTCCTGATTTTTAGACAAAATTTGGTGAAATTTCAATACTGTTCATTTTATCTGTGCTTTCTGAGACTGAATAAGCCAACATTGGGCATTAGAATATTTTACTTACTGTTAAAAATTCAATAAAAATTGAAAATTGAGAAATTTGCAGTAAAATCACAATTTTTCTTCAAAACTTTGATTTTTTTTTTTTAATTAACTTTTTTTAGTTTTTCTGTAGCCAAACTATTTTATTCATATTTTCTGAGAATTTAATCTTCATATTTTCAAAACTAAGGCATATCAGTGACAGCCTTATCACACACAGACAGGACACAGATCACTAAAGATTTCCCATTGACTCCAATGTTAATTCTCGTATCTTAGACCGGCTCTAACTTTTCCCCAAATTTTCGTTGGGTAGAACGCTTTCTACCACAGATGGAGCAACATGTGGCAACCACTTGCCCAAAAGCACGTATGAGGTTCTTCATGAAAAACTTGAGATACACAAGCTGGAAGTAGAGACAAGTAAACATGCAATTTCAGGCCCTACATTTCTACGTAACCAACCTCTCAACTCTTGTATCCTTCCGCATCAAAATTATGAATATTCACCAAAACCTGGCAGAAAATGTATTTTCAAACCCTTTTCCTCAATTCTACACCAAAAAGTCAACAAAAATCGCCATGCAAAAGGGGGAAAAAGGAAAAGGGAGAGGAAGACTAAAAATAGCTTTGGCCCTTGTTTCGTGGGTGACGGCGTAGGAATATTTGGTGATCTGTGTCCATCTGAGAGAATCCAAGCCAGGAGGTTATCTCCCATTGATATTTTGGTTTAGTTGTCTTCATTAAATGTTAAATAATCAATTTGAATACATCTTGGCATGATCAAGCCATGAACAATTAGATATTAGGCCTATCCAAAAAATGCAAATGGTGATCAGCAGCGTTTGTCACTGACATTTTTTAGTATTATCGTTATGATTAAAGCCAATTCTGTATTCTATTATTGTTTTTGATTTCTAATCTTCAGGGAATTCATATCTTTGTGATCAATGGAGCTAGACTGCTGGAATTTTATATACCTCCATATTGATATTTGATAGCCCTTTGATGTTCTTTGATGTGCCACTCAAAATATTACTTCTTTTCTGATGCAGTCACATTAGTTTTTGTAAATTACATGTATTCCATAAATAGGGTAAAGAAGAACAACATTGGGTTGTGTTTATATTCTGTTCAATTCATTACTATTTATATATGGCAATGGGTAGGGGCTTTAGTAGAAAAATCTTAATTTCTTTGACTGCAATCTAATCTTGTGTATTTTCTATGAGTTCTCCAGTTAACTCAGGACAAGCAGTTAAATAAAATAAAGGTTTTAAATGACCCTGTTAGTCCCTGAATTACCTAGTTATGTTTAGTGGACATTAAACCCTAATCTCTCTCTCTCTCTCTCTCTCTCTCTCTCTCTTATATAAATTTTATAATTATTTAATGTTTAATTAAGAAGGATACAGAATGTTAAGATATATTTTCAGTTCATCAAATTATTGTAAAACTATCATATTGTTCATAGATTAATCTTAATCCACACTGAAATGTACTAAAAATTGATTATTTAAAGGAGCTAAATCGCTAATATTTGGGACCTTGAAGTTGACATGGGTCGCAACGCATATAATAATGTAATCTGATTGTATAGAAACTGATTTACATTCAATTGTTTCCGTTGACTCTAATTTCAAATCAATTATGTCCAGCGAGATACGGCATGAGTCTCAACCGAATAGAAATTTCAGTCTATTGCTCATGCTTTCCAGATAAGATATGGCGTCACCGTTTGACATGAGTAATTCACTAATTGAGTATGTCTAGCCTCGCTCTTTCTGGTCACTTGTTGCAAATGATGCTAAAACGCACTATGGTACATGATTCGTGTACCAATGATAAAATGTTTATTTTGTCTTAAATATTGGATATCAGAAGCCTGCCTTTTCCTGGTAAGATCACAACATCAACGTTGATTTGAATTGACAAATAATTCGTATTTTCAACGTGTAAGACTTTGGATGATATTGAGTTAGAGACTTAGCTACTTTAAACATACATTATGCAAGAGGTAAATCTGCCTATTGTAGGTCTTTCTTTAGATCTGAAATGTTATTTGAATTATTAATTAGACATGTACACGTATTAACATGAAAAGACCATAATCAACTCTCAATGCCATCTTATCTGTCCGATCTGCGGTTCAACGCCCATTGATGATTAACAGCAAAAATGGATAATCGGTAAAAATGACAATCAAGGCTAAAGTGATTTTAAAATAAGGTTTTCCCAGCTTAGAGTAAAGCAATTTGACTGAAATTTTCAGCATATTTTCTTTACAGTATCTAGTTTTTAATTATTATAGTGAAAACTGCCAGCTCTTTATCTAATCTTCCATAATGTATCTTTAACATTTAATTAAGAATGCCGAATGTTGAGACATATTTTCAGTTCATCAATCTTTCTTTAATATGAAACAATTGAAATTTCGGACCGATGTTCCCTTTTGAGATTTAACTTTTAAGGGATTATAAAACCCTCCAATGACAATCAGAGACTTTAATAAGTTAGTTTCATTTGATACATTCACATCAGAGCTGCATACAATAAGCAATTAATCATTTAAAGATATACATTATTCAAGAGCTAAATCTGCCTATTGTAGGTTTTTAATTTGGCTTTAAATGTTATATATAATATATATAAATTATTATTTTGTCATTTATTCACATGGCAAGCCTATAATCAACCCTTTAAACCATCGGAAGATGCAGAGGTGAACGGAATGAAATATGATCACCATTTAATGATTTAATTTAAATCTTGATTAACAAGTAACATTTCTACGATAATAAACAGTGTATGCCAAAAGTTGACTCAAAACTTCAAACAGTGATAACGTTTCTCAGAATAAAGGAATTTGGATGATATTTTCAATATATTAATTTTGAATTTAGGAACTATTATACATGTAGCAAGGATGGCCAGCTCTTTATCTAAATCTTACATAATACATCTTTAAGCTGACGTTAAGCTATTTCACACATTTAAATCTTTTTAAAACCGTAAACACTTTCTTGGATATGGTGTTAATTGTACTTGTACTGCTGTAGTGATTTGTTTGTTCAGTTGCAAAAGACAAATTTACACATCTGTATCAAATAATAATTACCTTGCCTATCTGTTAGTAATTAGATTATTCATGTTTAATTAACTGTTAATTTGAGTGTAACATATCTTATAGGGATTCTCCAACAAGTTCAGATAGTGCACAGTTCAATTTTCTTAACCATTGGACCAGCAGTTCTTCACTTATCTATTTATTATTAAATGGAGTGCAAATAATGTCAATGGTGTGAATTTAATAGATATTGCAAACATTTGGAACTTTTTTTAGTCTCCGATTCTGGTTCTCGGATACAGTACCTTTGCATCACATTTATAAGGGACGCGATTTTATTTTTCAAAAATAAGAAATAAAAACATTCTCATTAATTATGTCATGTCACATGTCATATATTCCCACAGTAAAGGGAAGTAACTCTTAAAACATTTTCTGTTTAAATCGTATTATTTTTTTTTGTATGGCCTTATTAGTGAAAGTTGCAACACATCTGGTAGCAACGCTCAGCTGTGATCCTCTTTTGCAATATAGTAGGATTTCATTAGTCTATGTGACAGTAAATAAATATTGGCTCATGAATGCAAGTGTTCGATATACTCATGTATTAGGAAGTTTGGCTAACCACACTTTTTCTGTATCTGTTATGGTCTACATGGGCGTTAACAAACATAGCCTTGTTAGTATAATTGACATGGAAATTAAAAGAGAGTTCTAAAAATAATTAAGTTAAAGATGTCTTGTTTATTTATATGCAGAAATTCTCGTTCATTTATGCGCACAAATAAAGTAAACAAGAAGTAATTGATTTCCGGTATTTTTAAAGATTACGTATAACGTACTTTTTGACATTCAGTCATTGTGGTTGATAAGCTAATTGTTTTTATTAATTATAGGTGATTTAAGGAAATTATATGGCTTAGTAAGCCAGCAGTTGGTCCAGGTCACCATAATAAGACACAACCCATTTGTATTAGTCAGCATTTCTGTATTATGTGACTCAGGTGGTCGTTTATTATTTTCTTAGATAAATTTTCCAAATATGCAAAAGGCTAGAATTTAAAAAAAAAAAATAATATACCTTTTTTCAATGATTAGTTACTGATTCTGTAATTAAAACATCCTTCATTCTTGCACTGTGTAGTAAAACTGCCAATTTTGTCACAGCCCACTCCTCGAATACCTTTCCCCTCAGGCTTTTTTTTCCTGTCACTGGAGTTGACATGGTTTATATCAGCTGTAAGCTCATACAGAGAGACATCCAATGATAAACATGACTATACATGAGGCCCCATGATTTATATATTTTGTTTCAGGCACACACTTCACTCGATTTTAAGACGGTTATAAACAAACACTAACTTGTTGTTAAATAATGTCAGCGTTGTTACGCAAAAAAAAATAATTTGCCAATTATTCTAATTAGAATATGTGAAACATTTATAAATGTACAGTTGTGTTGTTAAGGTATGTGAGGAATTTGTGACCGTCAAACCATAGTGTGTGATTTAGCTAGCAGTGTGTGCCAAACCAAGCTTGACCCAGAACAATAGCCTCCTCTAGCCTGCAGATTAAAAAACGAGGGGTCTCCTAGCTAACAAATACCCTTGTGGTTAGATAAAACTTGGTTCTGGGCCAATGGATTGTCTTCTTTTAATTGTAAAGGAAGAGGTCAATGTTTTAGCCAGTCCAGACTGGTGTTATATTCTGAGATAAGACTTGTCTTGTGTTTGGATGTGATATACATTTATATACCCCTACTTCTTATCAAAGGGGTGTGTCTTTTCTGTGAAGCTTTCCACCTTGACTTTAGTGTGGTCTACTAGGGGGCACATACAGTGTGGAGTAATTCAGTCAGTGGTTTAGGACAATTAAGAGTGACTTGTCAGGCCTGTCCTCTGTGGTTGGTTGTAGTTTGCTGCTACGCACACACACCTTAAAAGTTAGCGTGATTAATGTTTGTTGTGGCTTGTTGACATTGATTATTATTTTGTTTGGCCTACCTAGTCATAGATGCAGTAGTAGAAAGTTTGTGACTCAGTTGACTGACACTACAGTTTACCTGGACAACTCAAGAAGCTGGTTTAGTGAAAACCTTCTCTTCAAACAAAAACCTTATCTACTTATTCGGGTTATTGAGCTGACTAAGGCAGCCATCTTGGTTCACCTTTATTTTAGGGTGTTTTTCGTGAAGTGCTTTGAATAATTGATTTGATTTATTCTTGTTTCGTATAACTTTCGGATTATCTAAAAAAATTAAAATGGAGAGAAATCGAAGATCCAAGTAAGTTTTTTTATTGTTTCATTCTTAGTTTTTAATTCTATAAGTTTTAACCTTAATTATTTCACTTATAATCAATGATTTGGGGGGGGGGGGGGGTTAACACTTTTAAGGAGACAAAAATTTGATGCTGTAATGTTTATTTGTTGTTTCATAAAAATTTGTATTTATTAAATGTTTTCTGGTTTTTATCAGTCATGAATGAAATATTGATGAAGATAGTTGTAATGTGTGAAACTAGATAACATAATTTATATTATAAAATATTGATGATATACATTTACGCAGTATTTTAAATGGATTTATTGTCTTCACAAACTTTATAGATGATTTCAGGCTACAAGTAACAAACTTTTAAAGAATTAAAAGAATTTTTATAAATTTAATTTGTCAGTAATGTCAATGGCCTATATAGATATTACCTACATATGTACTTGTACATGTGGAGTACATACGGGTAATCGACAATTCGACAATTAGACGTAGAAAAAATTAATGGGGACTCTTAGTTCACATTTACAATGTCACCTTTAAGTGGTTATCAGTTCTTATTAATCAAGCTATTGAATTTGTTGGCATAATATTTTTGGGTAAATAACTTTTGAAATAGTCAGAGTGCTGGCCCTAGGGCGGTGCAAATCTTTGTGGTTTGACAGGGCTCACAACTTATAAGGGCTGGAAAATTTAACAGAAATGTTTTTATTATAGATTATGTATTTGATACGAATAAAGAACTAAGAGTAATAATAGTAAAAACCGTTGGTCTGTAGGCATATGGTTACAGGTGCACTACTTATAGTAGACCTACTTGTTACAACGATCTACTAAAATAGAATTACTAGAATTGGAAACAATTTGACTTGTCATGGAAGGCTCGTACAGTCTTCTCTGCTGTCCAAATATTGATGAACACCAAAACACTGAATATTTACTGATATAGTTTAGTTACACTAGTAGCGTAATCAATGATAACTTAAACATATGGGGGGGTTGGATGGCTGAATGGTTAGCGTGCGCGCGCTGTATCATGAAGTCTGTCATTGAGTCGACTGGCGTGGTTTCGAATCCCCGGTTGTACGTGGCAAGGAGTAGGGTCGCCTGTCCAGCCTCATGGGTTTTCTCCGGGTCCTCCGGTTTCCTCCCACTGCTAAAGACCCCTACGCGCAAGCGAATTATGTAAATAAAATTAAACCATATGTTAGTCCCGAAATGACCTAGTTTGTGTCGAGTGGACGTTAAACCCTATTTCTCTCTCTCTCTCTTAAACATATGACACAATTATATGGAATACAAATTACTTAAAAGTTTATTTCTGGTGACTTTTTGACAAGTGTTCTTGTCTTTATCAAGCAGAGAATGTCGCTTAAACAATTTAATAAAAGATCGTAATTTATCATTTCTTGTTTAATGTTTGATCTCCTCTTGTACATATGACCTCCTTCTTCTATTAGTGTTCAACGTCCACTTCCACCGATGGTGATATGGCAAGTTGTCTTGCAAGAGCTTCCACCAATGGTGATATCATAAGTTGTCTTGCTAGAGCTTCCAGCAATGGTGATATGGCAAGTTGTCTTGCTAGAGTTTCCACTGATGGTGATATGGCAAGTTGTCTTGCTAGAACTTCCACCGATGGTGATATGGCAAGTTGTCTTGCTAGAGTTTCCACTGATGGTGATATGGAAAGTTGTCTTGCTAGAGCTTCCAGCAATGGTGATATCATAAGTTGTCTTGCTAGAGCTTCCATCGTTGGTGATGTCGCAAGTTATCTTGTTAGAGCTCAAAGCGCGACACTCTAGACCACTCAAACATCCCAATTCCCCTTGAATGACCTGATCTTGTTGTGATATATACTTGTCAACTGATTATAAATACACATTCTTTCTAAATAGATTGAATAAATTGTGTCTAGATCTAGGAATGTTGAGTCTATATTATTCCCAGCCTAGATTGTATATGATATTGTATAGCATAGATATTCAGGTAGTCAGACATTATTAATAATATCTACTAGATATTGGTCTAGGCACACCTGTATTTAATAGTTACAAATTTAGGTCAACCATTTCTTAATGAATTATGTATACAATAAAATTGAATTTAACCGAATTTACTTCATATGTTGTTTATAAGGGAGTAACTTAATAACCTTTTCACACTTAGTATGTCCGGGGTATTTATTGGGGACCGGGACATTGGGCTTGTGAATCTCTGTGTTTTGATGATTAATAAAATTGAATCTAACCCAATTTACATTACAAGAAGTTTGGAGAGAGAGAGAGAGAGAGAGAGAGTTTAAGTCCACTCCACACAAACTAGGTCATTTCGGGACTAACATATGGTTTAATTTTATTTCAATAATTCGCTTTCGGGTAGGGGTCTTTAGCATTGAGAGGAAACCGGAGGTCCCGGATAAAACCCACGAGGTTAGACAGGCGACCCTACGCCTTGTCGCGTACAACCAGGGATTCGAAACCATACCAGTTGACTCGATGACAGACTTTGTGATACAGCGTGCACACGCTAACCATTCAGCCATCCAACCCCCCGAGTGACTTAATAACCTTCTTACAATTGTATGTCTGGGGGGATTTATATGGGGTGGGGGGGTATTGGGCTGATGAATATCTGTGGTTTGACTATTAAGAAAATTGATGATCAACTATGTAAACGAGTTATGATTTCTTTTTTGATAAACTGGCTAAATGTAGATGTAGTGAATCAAATGTTTCATATATTTTAAAAGGATCTTTGTTAAATAAAAACAATTGCAAGTTTCTATAGACGTATATCATGGCTGTGGTTCGTCATTTGCAAGCCTGGAAATAAGGCACCTGTCACATACAATGTCAGACACAGATTCAGGCTTTGTCAGGGTAAAAACCAATGGTGCCTGTCATTTTGTCCATCACCGATTTGTCTTTTTTATTGATATTATTAATACATGTCCGACACTAAGTTGAAAATGTCAGATACTATTTCATTAGTGCCTGACATTTTGTCAGGTACATCTAAAACCGTTATTTCCAGGCCTGGATTTTGAAACCTGTGCGAACAATAATATTATGAAAGTTGAATATGTAACAGGGATATATACCGGTGGTGGTGCTGGGTATTGCCACTGCTGTCACGATACAAAACGTATTATGATTCAGGTGCTACGATATATGATTTGTATCACGCTTTATAACCAGGTCTATATTTACCAAGAAAACAACAGGATAAATGAATGATTAATGTTTTCAGTCCTGCTGATGTCGAAGAAATAAAAGTTGTTTTATATCACGATATTGTTGTGGATCAAAATAAGGACCAGAACAATTTAAGAGTGTTTGTGTACCTATTGATATTGTGTGATGTAGATAATTAAGAGTGACAGGTTACTTACTGAAGCAGCAAAAAAAAAAAAACTTAAAAAAGAATCGCAATACATTGATTCATCAGGAGATGGTTTATCGCGATACATATAGATTCAATGATATATCGTGCCAGATCAGTCATAAGATGATTCGTTTCTGTTCAATATTTTTCATCCTCTGCATGGAAAATTAAATATTATCTCAAACTTGCAAATGGCGATCAGTAGCTTTAAAGAAGTTGTAATGGGGGCATTTGGGAGTTAAATAAGTCAAAAAACGAAACCAACCAAGGATTATGATCTGTCATGTATAGTTATGTCAGTTACAAGACTTGCTTGGTGCAAAAATTGAAGACCTGGTCCTGAAGTAGAAAGGTGGGGACAGGGACAAGGAAGGGGGTTCATTGGTATAGTGATAAAATTTAAACTAGACAGTTTGTAAAATAGAAAAATTTGGATTTATCTTGTACATGTCGATTAAGTCAGTTACATGTACAATGTACATGTCGAGTAAAAAAGACAGAAATTGAAGACATATAGGATTTGGGGGGGGGGGGGACGGGGTTATAGTAATATATGAATTTAAAAAGATAATTTATTTTATACTGTTGCAAAATAGCAAGAAACATAACAGACTTTTAGAGAATTTAGGGTAATATTGTATAAACATTAATCTATTGACGAGAAAGGAGGTAAATTAATCAATAAATAAAAATGATGATAGAAATTCTTTAATCTACCTGTCATATTGATGACTCATCATTATATCTGTCATCATTATAGTCTACCTGTGTGTCAGCCGATAATTTACAGGTATGTGACTAAATCAGGTGTTTCTTCTCTTTGTGTGTGACATAATAATATTCTTTACTCTGTGACATTTCACTTGACTTTCTCTTTCAATGGTAATAAAGAGATTAGAGGTACTTAGCACACCTATGTGTTCTGGCTGTTCTCGTTAAGCCAGGTACCTGGAGATTTGTCATTGTATTATGACATTATCTTATTATGACTTAAGTGTTCATGTCACAGGGCTTATATGAACTGGATAACTTGTGTCGTTTTGCCTGTATCTACATGTATAAGATGAGGCTAATAAACTTTTATTGCTTGAAACTCAAGACGTTGATATATGGTAAACTGTGTTAGGAAAACAAATGGTTCTGCAAGATAATATTATGTTTGGTACAGAAATTTTAAAGCATCAGCTGGCGTGGTTTCGAATCCCCGGTTGTACGTGACAAGGAGTAGGGTCGCCTGTCCAACCTCATGGGTTTTTTCCAGGTCCTCCGGTTTCCTCCCACTGCTAAAGACCCCTACGCGCAAGAGAATATGTAAATAAAATTAAACCATATGTTGGTCCCAAAATGACCTAGTTTGTGTCGAGTGGAAGTTAAACCCCATTTCTCTCTCTCTTTAAAGCCTCAGATCATTATTTCCATCTTTCAGGCAATAACTAATTTTTCACTCAATATTAAATATTGAAAATAAAACCCCAAATATCAACGGTAGACATCTTGGATTCAATCAGATTTAAACGAGGCCCTTGTAGAGATTTTACCCAACAACTTATTTATATTGTCTGTAGGTAGAGGGGGCTGAATATTGTGAAAAGGTCTGTGTGTATATATATATATATATATATATA